TTCTGTTAGATATTTATATTTCTTGTTCTATAAATTTTTGCCTATAAAATTCACTCACTTTTTACTTCTGCAATGGGCACTTATTTTTGGAAGAACCCCTCATATAGTAACAATAGTGTATGCATTACATGTCCTTTCAGGGTCTTATCTTTTGCTTTTAAAACTTAGAAAAACCTATATCCACACTGAGTCCACATAAATGTGCACCTACATTTTCTTTTAGTTCTTATAAGATACTTTACCTTTAATCCATTTGCAATTCATTTTTGCATGAGATAACAGAGTCTAGTTTTATTTTTCCCCAGAAAAAGATGTGTCCTAAAACCATATATTGATTAACTTTTTCCTTCTTCTACAGAAATGGAATACTGAGTGTTAGAGGCAAGAGGCAAGATTTCAATGCTGTTATGATGGTGTCAATCCAGGAACCTAAGAAAACCAAGCTAAAATTACTCACTCTTCGGGTTACTAATAAAACTAGAAAGAGTAACAGCAAAATGAGAATCAAAGTATCACTTATTCAACAGCTGAGCCAGTGTCCACTAACCCCTATTGAAGAACCCTGCTAACAGATGAACTGAAGAACAGAGCTTTGAGGTAAAGGCCTAAGCAAAGGTTTCTGTTTTCAGCCTCATTAAAGATGATAGGTCTACAATGAAGGCACTGTCCTAATTTACATATTCAGCTCACCCAGCTGCAGGTTTAGGTCAACTTACCACGTGAAAGTAGGCATCTGTGAGTACTGAGATAAAAGAAACAGTAATCCTACCCACTAGTAAGACACTGTCCAGCAAATATCCTGGGTTCTGACTAACATCTCCCAATAAGGAGCTGGTGAGGAGGGAGGTAGGAAGCAGAAGTATGGGGCTAATAATGGAGTAGTAAGTAGTATTCTCATTGCTGTTGACAATGGCAGAAGTTTGGTTCCATTTTAGGGAACTTTTATTTTGTCCAATTGATTTTTTTACAGTATCATGCTGCTTTAATTATCATACCTTATAATAATGCTATATTATTAGGTTGTGCTAGTCCCTTTTTAATCTCTTATAAAACTCTTAGTTTTTGTATTTTTATGGTGCTTGGGTCAAACAAAGGGCCTTATGCATGCTAATCAAGTGCTCCACTGCTAAGCTATTACTTCAGCCCAAAATCTTGGCTCTTCTTTCCCAGGTATTCTTTATTTTTCCAAATAAACTTTATATGTAAACATTATGTTTCACTACAAAAATATCCAGATGTGATTTTGGTTAGAATTGCTTTAAGTCTATTTAGGGTAGATTACCTCTTCTTAAATAATGGTAATTTTTTTTCAAAGTTTTATTCTCAGTTCAATATAATATCTTTATTTTATACTTTATATACTACTCACTTATTGGTCACATAAGTATATAATCATGATTTGAACTATCATTTATTACAGTTACTAATAACTGTTAAATCTACATATCTATCCCAGGTGTCTCTTCCAAGCTATGAGCCATATCACCAACTGATTATAATATCCTGCCTTCTAGCTCTCATTCCCACCAGGATATCTTGCAGATACCTCATATTCAAGAAATTCAAAAATTTCTTCAAACTAAGAACAAACCAGAAAAAAACTGCTGTTCTTTTTATCTTTATGAGTGCCATCCAGTTATTTAATTCCAAAAACTTGCTCAATATCATTGGCTTCACCATCACCATTATTTCTAAAACATTGCTCCATCATCATATTCTATTGATTCTACATTAATATCTTTCAAATTCATCTAATTTTCTCCATCTTCATTTCCTTTCACCCTTTGGTAAAGCCCATTATTATCATTTGAAGGTTATTGCTACAATAACCTTCTAACTGGTTTCCCTTCTTCTAATTTATCCCTTCTCTCCTTTCAGCCATTTACTGCCAGTTTTAGTATGTGGATTTCAATTCAATTCCATTTCAATCCCTACCATTCTTCTGAGTGACTTCAACAATTCATCTAGCTCAGACCTATCAGTTACTTGATCTCCTCATCCCCAGTGTCCTTTATTTCCACTTTACTTAGCTCTTGGCCACAACTCTAATCTTCTCATCACCTTACATTACCCTACCCAAGTCTTCAAATTAAACCACAGTCACTATTTCCACTCCCATATCTCCCAATTACTCTTTGGTCCAATCCAATATGCAGTAGACCCTTGGTATCCACAGGTATATGGTTGCAAGGAGGCTGCTGTTGAGGAAAACCCACAAATGCTCAGGATGCATAGAGTTCAGTACTGTCCTGTAAATACGTGAATTTTTCTCATAACACCACCCAAATTCTGTTACAGACATGCCACCTTTCAACAAATCTAGAATTTTCACTTTATCATTTATATTAAGCATATTTCATGCCTTTTTTTGGCTTGAAAGGATGACCATAGGTTTTGTCTTGCTTTTTGGGGTCCCATCTGCTATTAGGTGAAGCATGGTTTTGCAAAAGTAAGGGCAGAGAAACACCTAGCAGATCACACAACCATTTAAATACAGCTGATAATAATGCAGGACTAACTGAGAGCGTCTTGTATAATGTGTGTGCAGTAAATTAACATTTTTATTTTTGAAATTTATTTATTTATTTACTTACTTACCATGCTTGATCAGAACTAATGTAATAAACCTGTGAATAAGGTAGGCTTACTGTAGCTTCTTTCCTCACCAATTTATCAAAATCACCACTTGATTCCTTGTTGCTATATCAACTGGGAAATGTTCTGTTCTTTTTGTATTTAACCTTTTTAAAGCAGCTGAAACTGTTTCTTGCATGCAATGACCATCTTTTTAACATTTATGATACAATTTTCTCCTGGTTTTTCTCCTACCATTCTTGCTCACCTTTTCTCAAGCTTGCTTTTAATTCACTACCTTGCTTTAAAGTTGGTCTTCATCAGGATCTTATCTTAAGACTCTTACTATCTCATATATATATATATATATATATATATATATATATATATATATATATACTCTTTCTGGTGACTATGTTCATCCTATGCCTCCAATCACTAACTGAACATTGATGCCTTCCATATCTATTCCTGCAGAGCACACCTCTCTCCTGAACTCCAGATCTTTATGTATAATAGAAACCTGTATTTAGTCCTGTTACACACATCTCAAATTCAGCAAATTCTAAAGTGAACTTATCATCATCTAATCTCTTCCCACCCATCTTCAAGTTAGCGGTCTCCCCTGTTTCCTGTCTTTATGAATGGCATCACTATTTACCAGGTTGTCCAAGTCAAAAACCTGGGTATTATTAATTTTCCTTCAAAATGTGAGTGTCATTCAAGGTTTCTTATCTTTCTTATTTCTGGCATTCAATCACTCACAAATCCTTTTTGTTTTACCTCATTGATCTTTCTGGTCCCTTGCATATGGGAATATAGCCCATGCTTTATCACCACTGTTACTTGGTGGCCTGCCTGCCTGTTCAACACCTAGTAGAATGCAGAAGTCATCTGTCTGCTTCAAGACTGTGACTCAGGGCCTACTGATCTTTTTGGAATCTACCCCTTTTCCCATACTCCAACCTTCATGTCTTTTACAACTGGACCTTTATATATTACATACCCTACATCTACAACTTCTTTTTTATTTTTTCCACTCTCCCCTTCTCCCATATGCCTATCCCTTAGACTTTGTCAGTGTTTTTCAAAGTGTAGTTCCTAAACTAGTAGCATGAGCATCATCTGGAAATTTGTTTAAACTAGCAAACTGGAGTTTCATCATGAATCAGACACTGAGGTTGATCTCAGCAAACTACTGACTTACTTCTCAGCTGAGATATTACCTGCCCTTGGAAACCATTCTTCTCTTTCTCTCTCCTTGTTTTTCTTTGCAGTACTGAGGTTTGAACTCAAGGCTTTTAAAGGGCTTGCTACACAGGCACTCTACCACTTGAGCCACACTACCAAGCCCTATTTGCTTTCATTATTTTTGAAATAGGGTCTCATGTTTATGCTTGGGCCAGCCTAAACTGCAATCCTTTTGCACAGGTAGGACAACAGGCATGCACCACCATGCCAAGGTTTTTATTGGTTGAGTTGGGGATGGGCTAACTTTTGGCCTGGGCCAGCCTTCAACCACAATCCTTCCGATGTCTACCTCCTAAATAACTAGGATTATAACAGGCATAAGCCAAATTGTGCCTGGCTTGAGAAACTATTCTTAATCACACCAACATTAGATCAGTACCTTCCTTTCCACCCACTTGTCACACTGTAAGGACTATCATTTAACACTTATTACACTGCATTATAATTATATGCTTACTTGTCTGCACCACAATAATCCAAGTTTTTTAAGGGTAGGGAAAATATTATTTGCTCCTGTATCCATAGCTTCTAAAGTTATTCCTGTTACTCAGTAGTCCTCCAATAAGTATCTATTCAATGGTTAAATGAATTGAGTATCTGGACAAGACTATGGTCACCCTAAATTTAATATGAGTTTAGTGTGTGACTAGAGTTAGAATTTATACACTAGGGTGACAAGAACTTTATCTACCGCTATGGCTAAGGATCAGTCTGAGCCAGTTCTCTCTCTTTCCAAAATCAGGAGCTCAGTCTTGGTGATGAGGGTATGTCATAGAGACCTGAAATCGGAATATTAGGCAGACCATTAAGACTATCATAGAACATTAGTCTGTTCTGGGATTATGAGTATTTCATAGAGGCAAATTCAGGCTATGCTTTAGTCTTGGGTAATATTCATTTTCAGGTCTCTAAGAGTATAATATTTTGTGGTATAAGGAACTGAGCCAAGGACCCAGGGAAGTACCTTATACATGTAGACCACGTATTGCAGAGGTACATACCCAGTGAATTTTTTTTGCTGCACCCAGTATTGAACCCAGGGCCTTATGCATGCTAAGCAAGTTCTCTAGCAATGATCCACCCATCCCAAGTGTAATTTTTAAAAGAAACATGTCAGAAGACTGCAGCAAAGATGCTGCATAGCCTTTGTCTCTTCACTAAGTGTCCCCACTCACCAGGCTCAGCAGCCTGTGGCCATCCATTACTGGATTCTAATACTCCATGAGCATGTACAGAGTAGGGGCGACTGGCATTATTCTTGAACACCACAGTCAGGATATCGCCAACCTCTCCTCTGATAAGTGGACCTAATATATACAAAAAATAAAACTTTCATTAGTGGGAGGGTGGAGTAGGAGGCATTAAGAAAGGGACAGACCTGGTAGCTCCATAGAATTAGGAATTTGCCTTAAGAAAGAATCCTTTGTAGACCAAAAGTCATGGCTGGCTCCAATTTTAGATTCACAAGTCCTTAAATTGATATTGCTAGCCATAATATAAGAGTACTTTACAACAGGATTATGCCTCCAATTGCCCCTACTTGTCCTACCAACAATGTTCTATCTATAAAACCCAAGGCTCTAGAGAGTTCAAGTTCTGTGGAATCATCAATAGTAAGGAGTGAAAATTTGTTACATAATACAGAATAGCTGAGATCTCTTCAGGGACTGGTGTCTCTTCTATGCCAGGATAAGAATAAGGAAACCCACTGAACCCTAAACAAAAAGACTACAGTAATAATTAAACTGGAGTATAAGGGTAATAATGGTTTCTTATATTATTTTCCACTTTCAGATGTTACTAAGTTCTCCTGCATCTGTGGTCTTTTAAAGTCTACCACATTCATAGACCTCATACTTCAAAGGTATAGAAAACCTGGAAAAAGTTGGTTCAGGTTGCAGCAGAATTCATAATTCCCCCATCCTCCCCTTCAGTGCTTATTTGCATGACTGCTTTGTGAAGCAGGACCATACATCTAGTATAGCATAAGGAAAAGTTGAGAATGGAGAATAAGGAGGTCATCCTGATACAACATAGCTGCCCTAGAAACAGCTCATGCTTCTAAACACCAGGACAGGAGTAGAATTCCCTTACCCAAGATTCCCAAGTGCTCTTCTGATCCAGACCTTGGCCGACGGATCTTGAATGTACCATCAGTGTATTCCCGGAATACAACTTTCTTGTATCTGGAACCCAGGAGCCCATCCTCGTTGCTCAGGAACACGTGACCATAACTAGAAAATCCAAAGAGTGTTATCAGCACCTGGCCTTTGACTTTCATTCTCAGAGATGGGGAGCTTAAGTCAGAACCATTCTCATGTCACAGATTAATGAAGATGTGGATTTATTCCTTCTAATGTCAGATTACCCCTCAACATTGGCTGCATAACCACAATTAAAGATAGTATTTATGCTTCTGGTTTCTATCATCCAGAGAGAAATCTGTAGTGCAATTCATATGGCACAAACACTGGGCTAAGAATCAGAAACTCTAGCTGCAGCCTTAATGAGGTCTTAGACATAATTAGTCTCACAAAAGGTGGCAGGAAAGTAACCACTAGTGCTGTTGCTGGAGGTCAAGGGAGGGGAGAGGCAACAAGGAAACAGGATCTTATATATTTTTCATTATGAGATGCTTTCTAGTTCAGAGTTTATTATTCATTTTATCATTGAGTGTTCCCAATAGGCCTACAAGGTAGGTGGATCTCAGAAGTACAATCTGAGATTGGAGGTGCAATCAGAGATGCTAGCCCAGATGTGACAGGACCTATCTACAGAGACACTGTCAGCCAGAAAGGGAGGCAGGACTTAAGATTCAAGCACGCTGTTCCTTTCCTCTCTCCTTCTCTAGTCATGTTCTTTCAACTATATGTTATAGAAAAGTCAACCAAGGATTAGAGAAAGGAATTTACTTTTCCAAAATCCCATAGCAAGTTCACAAAAAGACAGCAACCTTAAACAACCAACATAAATGTTAAAAATTGGCAAAGAGCAGTGAAAGTACCTAAAACAAACTAGTGGAGATGGCTAATCTATACCTAAGTTTCTGTTCTCTCCTCTTCTCTTTTCTAGTAATAGGCTCATATAGGTTTTAGCTGAGCACATGGCTGACCATCCAGATATTACATTTCTCAGGCTTCCCTGCAGCTAAGTATGAATAGATTGAGGACAACAGGGCATAAGAGAAAGTGATGTATCTGACTTCCAGCTTATCTCTTTACAGACAATGCTACTTGCCCTGACTTGAAGGCTGGAAATGGCTACAACTAGAATTGGCATCTTGGTCTCAGAGATGAAAGTAAGTGTTGAGCATAGCACAGTTTACCTACCAGTCCTGGATTGCTCATATCTATACTATTATGTAAATAAGAAGTAAAATTCTATCTCATTTAATCTACTCTGTTTTGGACTTTTTCTGCTACACAGCTTATTCTGTACCTTAGTGAATGAGCTTGAGGTATTTAGTTCTTTGAGTAAACTCCTTATGAAGTTTATGTCTCAGAATAGGGAGTCAAGGGCTGAAAGGTTGAGGGCATGGGTAAGGTCTTTTACTTCAGCTCCATAGTAAATATAGGAGAACTGAGCTGGAATTCAGAAGACATGCATTTTGGTCCCTGGTCCCAATTCTGTTGGTAACATATTAGGTGACCTTAAATAATTGTCCCCTCCTGTCAGTTTCTGTATCCTCATCTGTGAAAGGATTCTCTAAACATGTTACTTCTCCTTTTCTGAAGCCTTACCTGTCCTTCTTAGACTGGTTGTACCATTCCAGTTCCCAGCTTCTATCAGGGCAATAGTCCCACTCTACCTCTTCTGCCATGATGTAGTAGACTCTTGCAGCTTGGTAGTGTTGATGAGGGCTAGTCTGATGGCCAAAACACTGGGAAACATTATAGATTGCCCTCATCCCTGCTTCTCGGTGGTTGCCTGCCTGGCAGTAAATTTCAAATGTCCCTAAAGGAGAATCAGAGAACAAAACCTGACTCAGAATACCCCTGGAAAGTGCCTGGGGGGGGGACTGCCTTCTTCTCCCTATGAATATCAGAGAACACCTGGTAGTCTAGGATAAGGCCTTCAATGCAATAGAAAAAGCATATAACAAGTTTAATTTTTGATGCTTTTGTCTGAAGTAATTTTGTTATTAGCATATAATAGTTGTACAGGGGAATACATTGTGATATTTGCTTACAGTATATCTTAATTAGATTCACCCCCTCCATCATTCTCCCTCATTCCCCTCACCCCTGTCTTAGAATAATTTCAACAGATTTTATTTTCAAACGTGAATACAAAAAACATCCATCATATTATCCATTTTTCAACCTCTCCTAATGCTCTCCCCCTTTCCACTGGTATCCACCCCGGACAAGACCCAGTTTTACCTTCCTGTTCTTCATTTTTTAAGTATATATTAATAGTTCAAGGTTTCACTTTGGTATTTCAGACATGTGTATATTGTGCTTTAATCAGATTAACCTGCCCCATCATGTACTCTTTCTCTATTGCCCTATTCCCCTATTATTCAACAGCTTACAGTGCATTGTATTATATTATCTTTAATATTTTTCACTCTAACATTCTCTTTCCCTCTCCTGACTCCCTGTAGTCCCCTCAGACAGACCCACAAATATAATCATGTAATCTTTCTCTCTCTCGATATATATATATATCCACATATGTATATATATATATACATATATATACATATATACATATATATATGTATATATATGGGAAAACATGTGACCTTTGACTTTTTGAGCCTGGTAACAAGTTTACTGAGAGTAACAAGCACAGAGATTAAGCACTCCAGCTCCAAAGCTGTATAGTCTAGGTTAAACCCAACATGTGTCACTAGGACCAATTTCTCCCTTGTCTGCCAAGGGCTTTCCTAGTTTTAGCACTGAAAGTCCCATACCCCTATAAACTCCTCAGTTCTGAGCACAGTGGGAAGACTGGTAACCCTTTCTAACACTCATTAGTGATATAACCTTGTAGCAATTTCTAAATCTCTGTATGCTTCAGATCACTCATCAGTAAAATGAGGATCATTTTTCTCACTTCATTTGGTTGTTTTAGAATGAACACAATAATTTACATGTACTCCTTAGCATCCTATGTAGGAAATGTTCAATAAGTGAAGCTATAAGTATGTAAACAAAGTTTAATAGTTGTTATTCCAAGGAAGGCATTGATCAATCGTCTCCTTTTTTCTACCAACTCCAAAGAAATAAAGGTGGGATTATTTACAAAATAATTTTTACAAAGCAACCTGATGATCACAAGGATTCTTTCACAAGACAGCTCTGGACAGGTCTGCTTTTTACAGTGGAATGTTCAAGTGTCTGTCTTGAATGTCTGTGTTGTGGAACTGTATTGCACCTAATCTCAAGCTCCAGATTTCTATGTCAAGAACATTCAGGTTCAGAAAATGTTGATCAAAAAAACTAACTTTCTTGGAATATTATTTTCAGTGTTCACTTGCCTTGCTACCTACTGCCTATCCTATCACTACAGACTCTCCTTTCTGACTTTTAAAGCCTTCTATGATCTGACCCCAAACAACTGACCCAGTCCCACTTTCCCATATATTATCCAAAACTCAACTATTTCTCTAATTAAATCTATTTCTGACTGCTCCCTCACATATCATTCCTATTTTGGAATTTCTACTCATCACCCTCTTTCTGAAATATACTTGCTCATACCACCCTCAAAATCTATGAGAATCCATTCATTCTCAAAACCCAATTCTCTTTCAGAAAGCTCTCTCTGACTATTCTGGCACCAAAAAAGCAGATTTTTAGCCTCTTCATTTCTAATATACTTTGTATCTAAATGACATAGTTAAAGACTAAGTGTTCCTATCCTTAAAAATTATCTTACAGTCTTTACAGACACCTTACAAAAAAGGCTCTCTCCTGTTCTTTCAATATCTACTTTCCAAGTATTCTATTTCCATTACTCCCTACATATACTCTCTCAAATAGTATCAGCTCTTCCTTCACAATTATCCTTTCAGAGATAGGTGTGGTGGTGCACATCTGTAGACTCCACTTCTTGAAAACCCGAGGCAAGAAGATTGCTTGAGCCCAAGAATTCGATCTATCCTGGGAAACATAACAAGACCCCTGACTCAAAAAAGTATTCTTTCATGCTCACTGCCAATTCCCTAGTCCAGGTCACCATAATTTCTTACCTGGAAATTTGCAGTCACTTCTCAACTTCCCTCTTCTCTCCCTACCATCTTCAATCACTATCCACACAGGCTCTAGGGTGCTCTTTAACTAATATAGCCCAAAGCACATTGAATCTTTGCTTTAAATGTTCCACTCATACACAGGAAAAAATCTAAGCTCCTGACTATGGCCCACAAGGACTTACATAAGACTCTTATCAACGTCTATGACTTTATACCCTGCCAGTCTTCCCCTAGCTCATCACACTTCAACCACCATGCTTATTCTCATCTTAGGGTATTTGGAATTGTTTAGAATACTCTATTCAGAGATCTTCCCTCCTTATAATTATTTAGGTCTCAGCTTAAATGTCACATTCTCAGAAATCATTTCTCTTCTCTAAAATAATGCCTCCACCATTTTATAATATCAATGTATGTATTTTATTTCCTTCACGACATATATCACTACCTGAAAATATTTTACTTATGTATTTATTGAGGATATTCCTTGAGAACAAGATCATTTCAGTCTTATGTACCTCACTATCACAGTTTTGGTACACAGAAGGTGTGAAATAAATATGTGTTCAGTGAATTGACATGTCAGCAAAGGGGTGATTGTATACACTGTCCAAAAGTCATGGGTCAGAATGTGGGGTGGAAAAGGAAGTCTAGTGTCATTTGAGGGAATAAAACAAGATAGAAACATTCTGAAAATATGTAATCTTGTGTAGCCACATCACCTCAACTTTCTCATATGGACACTATTGTCAAAGTCATTTGTTTTTCATCACTCTTCTGCTTTTGGCTTTGAGTCTCTTCCTACATTGCTGAACAACCCTTTGCTTTCTCTTTATTCTGGTTTCTATTCTTCCTCATACCTCTTTTTTTCCTCATATCTCTTGTATGTTGACTTCTATCTTAAATTTTCTTTCCTGGCATTCTACATGTTTATGGACTCAAACTATGAGAACATCCAAATCTCTCTCTGTAGCCCAGGATTCCCCTCTGAGCTTAGATTTCTACCCACAAGTAACTAATGTGAAAATCCTACCACCTGGATTTCACCAGTAACTTAAAACTTAACATGCCCTCAAATAAATGCTTTTTATCCAAACCTTAGCACCCTACCACCCTACTGTACTTCTGCAGTTTGCTAATGGTACTACCATCTACCTTGTACATAAGCTGGAGACCTCAGTCATCTTTTCTTTTTGTTCAGCCCCCCAAGAAAGTCCTGTCATTTCTCTCCCAAATATCCCTTAACTCTGCCCTCTGCTCCATCTCCATCACCCTCACCTATTGGCAAGCTCTCAGTCTCTTTCATGAGCCTTCTGCTATGCCTCACTGATTCTAGTTCCTTCTTATTCAGACCCATTATATATATTATCTTTAGTAAACTTACAAAAATAAAAAATCACATCTTGTCACTTGTCATCTTAATAAAAGAAACAAAACCATTGATGCCTTCTCATAACCCAGAAGATGAAATCCTAGCTCCTTAGCAAGACCCTCCTTCTCTAATTGGGTCTTTAGCCATTTCTTATCTCCCTTAAGCCCTTATCTTGGTATCTTTCAATCAGGGTGCAACTAGCATTTTAGATGGGATTATTCTTCATCATGTAGTACTGTCCTTCACATTGCAGAAAGGTTTTTTCCAACAGATTTTTTCAATTTTATTTTATTTTTTTCTTTTATTATTCATATGTGCATACAAGGCTTGGTTCATTTCTCCCCCCTGCCCCCACCCCCTCCCTTACCACCCACTCCACCCCCTCCCTCTCCCTTCAATTTTATTTTGATTAATATGTATTAACTATATATATTAATGTGCTTCAGTGTGATATTTTCAAACATGCATATGGCATACATTGATCAAATTCGGCCTCCTTTTATCTACCCCTTCCCCTTCCAAAACCTCTAATAATTATTATTTGACATTCAGGTTTATTTTTTGACTCCTACTCTCTAAATACCAATACCACACACTCCATGCCCCAGTCACTGTGATAAGTAAAAGTGCCTCCAAATTTACACTTTTACATACTATCTTGAGTTGAGAACCACTGAATCAAATCAGTGTAGTCAACCTACTCTAGGCAGATGTTGCTTCCACACCACTGCCTATATAGTTCTTACTGCCTGTTATGCTGTCCTTACCCCCTATCCCCTGTCTTTGTTTGGAAACAGTCTACCCATCTTTAAAAGCTCAGTTTGGGTCTAAGGGTGTAAAAGCTTATTCTGAAGGTCTGTTGTCCTTGCAAAACTTCACTCTGAAAGTCAGGAAGAATTTGTCACAGCTCCCTACGTGTTACTCTAACTCTTGGAAGATAACATCATTATAGCTTTGTGAATAATGCTACCAACTCTCTTTTCCCTTATCTGTGAGCTGCCATGTTTGTTCTCATATCTCTAGCACATAAGCCAATATCTTAAAGACAATAGATGTTTACTGGAAAAATGGAATAGAAAAGAAAAAGACAACAGAAAAAGAAATGAGAAGGATTTTAAAGGATAAAAGCAGAAGGAGACAAAGAGAGAGGAAAGAAAAAGATTTAGAATGAAGAAAATGAAAAAAGAGGAAGAGAAAATAATAGGAAAACAAATGGGGAAGAAATAAAGATAAGATGACAGCAGGTAAAAGAAAAGGGGGGAAGAAGGCAAAGTAAAGAAACAATGAGAAAAGGGAGAGAAATGAAGAGAATGAATGCAAAAAGGAGGGAAAGTTCAAAAGAAGAAAAAAGAACAGCAAAGACAATGGCAAAAACAATTTGGTAAAATAAGGAAGGGAAGAAAGAAAAGATGAAAATAAGTAAAGGATTCAATTTTAAAAAAAGAAAAGACACTGAACAAGATGGGAGACAAAAGATGGAAGAAAAAGGAAAGAAGAGGAGGACCAAAGATTGAAAAGGGAGAGAAGAAAAACAGTAAGAATGAAATAAGGGAAATGAGAGAAGGGAGAAAAAAGGAATAGGGGAGAGGAAGGTGGGAAAGGGGGGAAAAGATAGGAATAATGAATAAAGAAAGAGCTCCAATGGCAAAAGAAACCTTGATGAAAGGCCTAAGCAGTAATAAAATTCTCTGTTGCTGAGATATCTAGCATGAATTCAGTGGAATAACATATTACAAGCTTAAGCTTTTTAGCTGCCACTTTCACTGGCTATGAAAGCTCTAGTGTCAGTAATTCCACTGGAAGAGCTGAGGCATACTACATATGTGATATTTTAAAGTACAATATGTATTTCTATTAAATGTAACATAAGCCTATGAAAATTTAGTGCAAAGAAAAAGGAGTATTAAAAAGATCACCAATAGATCCAAATAATTCAAACTGTTATTTTTCTGAATTTTTTTCCTGAGCATTTGTTTTCATGTTGAATCTCCAGTGATGTTTTTTTTTGACATAGGGTTGCTATGTTGCCCATGCTGACCTCCCAGACTCAAACAATCCTCCCATTTCAGCCTCCTGTGTAGCAATGACTACAGGTACACACCACTGTACCTGGCCACAGTCATGTTTACAAACCACCTGCAAAGCTGCTCAAGCATATATATTTATCTTTACCATTTCCCATCACTACCTTTCTCTCCAGAATCTCAAAGCCAGATTCTGGTCAATTAAACTGGTTACTTCTGCCCTGTTTTTGGAGAGCTAGTCACAATGGTCTCTTTCCCTCTTAATCATAAGCAAATCTCCAGGGGCAGAATGAAGAGTTCAGATTCAAAAGATCATCTAGGAAAGAGAATTGAAAGCATTTAATAGAGGATGGGCAAGAGAAGCTGCAAAAATAGAACCAATATTTCTAACCTAAATGAGTCATTTTCCCCCTGCAGGTTTCTGTCCCTTGTACCCACTAGTAAAATAAATGAATTTAGATGATACAAAAGGGACCCTACCAATTCTAATATTCTGTGACTAGGGATCTCTTTGAAAAAGGGTGTTTTAAAGGTCTACAAATACAAAGAAAGAAAAAAATATGAGCTTTTGCTAGTAACAAAATCTAGGACTCATAATTAAGAGAAACCTCTCAAGACTTTACTCTTACACTATTATTCCAAGTAGCTGGAACAACAGGCATGTGCCACTGTGCCTGGGCAAAATGTTTTTAAGGCATCTACAGCCAGCTTCCTTGGTTCACAGAATGGCACAAAAAAAATCACTCATTTAAAGTAAGAATAAGCCTGTGACTTAGCCAGGCAGCCTGACTGGCTTTGCAAGAAGATTAAATTTGGGATTTGGTTTTGAGGTTAAGGCTAGACAGTATGGTCTTTCTTGGTCAAAAGTCCCCCATCTCTACCTCACTAGAAGCACTTATTCCTCTTGTTCCTTTCAGCACCATTAACTAACCGATGTTTCTAATTTGCTAATGACAAGTCTCACTGACCAAGAAAATATCCCAGGGAGATGGGAAACAATGAGGACTCCCAAGAGTCTGGAGAGATCAGCTTTATGTTGTATTCTATGTCAGTGCTGAAACTATTAAATTGTTAAACAGAATTGTTTTCTTTAAGGATTGTTATTCCAAATATGAATGGAATTTACATGCTTAAAATAAAAGTTTAGCAGGAACTGCATAGAAGTGATAGATTTTTCTTACAAACACTATTGCCACCTACTGGCTAGAAAAAGAATAGACCCTAGGGACTAAAGAAAAAAACAAATACTGCTGCTTCATGAAAATGCCTGAACAAATGGAATCTGAGGAAACATTCCAGTCAAATTTCTTCATTATAAAAAGCATGGAGGAAGGAAGTGAGGGAAGGATGAAAAGAAGGGAGGGGAAGAAGAGAGGAAGAAAGAGAGGAAAGGAAGGACAGAGGGAAGGAGTCTAGCTATAGAGAGGGGGAAGTGATTAGACCAAACTTACCTAGCAAATAAATGAAAGCGCCTAGATTTTGACTTCTAATCTGAAACTGTTCCAGCACACACACACACACCCCCACACACACATACACACACACCATAAGTTGGACAGTTTGCAAAAATCCTCAAAGAACATGAGGGTTGAAAGCACTTGTATAGATATATCTTACTGATCTTTTTCCCAATGCAAGGACTGTATCTATAAAATTTGTATGTGGTCTAGGGGCTATGTGGACATGTGCACTCTCTGCCATGTAAGAACTACCCTAAAGCTGGGCAGCACCCAAACTTTTCTTTTGTTCTTCCAGACAAGATATTCCTCAACCTTCTTCTCATTCTTTTCTCTCCAAGAAGAGAATCCACATAACCAGAGCATGGAGGAAATACTGAAGAGGGAGAAGATAAAAGTGTTTTTGAACACCTTCCCAGCACTCTCAACATGCCTCTTCTTTTCTTTTCACCAGTCCTCCCTTCTTGGCTCCTTCATCCTCAATCCCCTACTCAAAAAAGCCTAGGGTGAGCCTAGGGTGAGTTGCTAAGGCACTTACCAGGGTTGTCAGGCTGCATGATGGCCATGACAAAAGTGTGAGGAAAGAGCATGGCTGCACCTTTCCTCATGCCCTGAAGTTGCACAGTGTTGCCCTGGAACATGACCCCATGCACGTCAGTCTCCGTGCCCAGGCCAAGCAGGTGCCAGGCCACCGTGTCACCTTTGCACATGTCCAGCCTGGGCAGGTTAGAGAACAGAAACCCATTAATAGCTGGAAAACAAAAACACACAAGACAAGATAGGGAGATGAGATCAGAATACTCGAGCACTGGCAAACAGCATGGTATAAGCTCTGTAGTATGGTTTCCCACAACTTGAAACTGCTAGATCATCCTCAACTCCTCTGCAGTCTTCTCTAAGCCACTTCTGTTCTAGTTACGAATGTCTTTCAGTTGAGGTCCCAACTGGCTTTTTTGGTCTCACCTCTTTCCCCTCCTCTACCACACTCCAGTAACACTGAACTACTCTCCACTACTACAGCTCCTACCCACCTACACACATACGCACCAACCTCTCCTGTTCCCACTGTCTTGCAACTCTCCTCCCTTAACTTCTGTGGCACTATATTTTCCAGTTCTCTTACAACCTTGCTGATTGTTCCTTCTCCATCTTGTTCATACTCTCCACCCTCTCCATTGAGTGCTTGGGTTTCCCCAAGGTTCCATCATCAGCTATCAACCTGCCTCCTCCTTTTCATCTTCACTACAAACGCCAAAGTTCTGGCCCTGTTCTGAATTCCTATGAAAGCCTCTTCCTGGTATCCCTATCTTCAGTCTATCCTCCCACTCTCTCACACATAGCCATTTATCCTATCAGCTTTATTTGTCTCTACATAGGAGGTACTTAGAAAACACCTACTGACTTTCCACATGCTGTTCCCTCCATCTGGAATAACTCCACTTCTGGCAATCTACTACTTATTTATCATGTTCTAGCTCAAATGTCACCTCCTGTATGAAACAACATCTCTCTCTCTCTCTCCCTCCCTCCCTCCCTCTCTGATTTCCATGAGACTTTTAACCTCCAAATTTTTACAGTATCACTTATTCCAGAATCCAAAGATTCCCTCACAAATCTAGTTTAACTTAGCAGGAAGCATAGGCTTTTTTCTGTATCTATATGACTGTTTGAGCACCTATCCTGTTTTTTGGTACCAATCAAGTGTTCAGTAAATTCAAACTAGAATGAACTTGACTTATGAGACTAACTTATGGAAAAGTTCCAGATGATGGAACTATATGGGGATGGGAATCAAGAGATGGGGTCAGAAGAAAATATATTCATTCTTATCTCCCTTCTACCTTCTACACTGCCCACCCTGCAAAATAAAGGGAAGCCTACTTGAAACTGACCTCTTTTTCAATGTTTCCCACCTCCACTGGAATTAGCCTCAATGAGATACCATGTTTGATAATCTCCTGGGATGCTGGTGGGAACATTGCCAACCCCCAATTCTGCTTCCCCTATCTATAATGTCCTGATTGCAAAACTATTTAGTCTTCAAGCCCTAGTTAAAGTACTTCCTTCTTCCAGGAATCCTTTAATTTGATTGTACCTCATTAACATTCTCCTCCTCTGAACTTGAAAGCTGTTCTACCAATTTAGCACTTAATTATAGTCTGTCTTGGATTATTCTATAATTGTTTCATGGGTGTTATTATTTGTATATCATTGCAAATTGCTGGGAGCTCCTTGGAAACTTCCCATTGAAGTTCATCCATCCAAGAATGAATGTTGTCCCATTCATTCTCTCACTACCCACTCATTTGGTAGTTCACTAATTCAGTTAACATTTATGATGCATTACAAAATGTAGAGGATAAAGATAAGCAACATATACTCACCTTTGAAGACTATACTCCAGCAGAAGTCAAAATCCATGTAACAAATAACTACAATATTAAGGAGTGTATGGAACTTGCTACTACAATGACCTAATGGAAGTGCCATAGTAGTTCAGAAGAGGGTGTCATTACCCTGGACTTGAGGGATAAGAAATGGTAGCATGGATCATGGATGAGGCAATTTTTGAGTTGAGCCTTAGATAATGGGCAAAATTTTGACAGACTGAAGGCAAATATGCAAGGAGGGGCATTTCATAGGAGGGCATAGCTTTGCAAAAACATGAAGTCATAAAAGTACAAAGTACTTTTCTTCATAGGAAGAAAAATAGTCTCACTGGGATGAAGTATGGAATATAGAAGCAAGGGTAGAGGAAACAAGACTAGAAGGGGGACCAAGGGTGTAGCTCAGTGGCAGTGCTGTTACTTTTCAGTTCATGGTACTGGGTTCTACCCTAGCACTACACACATATAAAAAAAGACTGGAGCAGTATCACCCCAGCCTACTCTTCACACTATCTGGAAGATTCTTATGCATAATCCTCATTTCACAGTACATTCTTCCAGTGGCCCCCATACCATGTAAGACAGGGAACAGTACAAGAAGTCACTGAGTATAATTAGATCTGCTTCTTAGGTTGAATCCCTCAGTCTAGTTTATGACTTGGAATTGGTCAGCTTTCAATAATTGCTTCTGATCATGTGTTAGGATTAGCTTTTACTTGGGATTTTTCAGTTACATTCAGGGAAAAAAGTATTCCCCATACCATGCATCCGATTGGAGTCTTGGAAGCCCTCGACATCCTCTGAGAGCAGTCGGGAATCCAACATAGCAGCTGCTTGATTGGCATTGCTGTACCAGCTCTTGTTCTCATCCAACACAGAGAAGAGGAGAAAGAACTCTTTATCCACCCCTTTCTGCAGGCCCAGTGGAAGAAAGCAGAGGAAGGAAGAACAATAGTTTCAGCAGTTGTGTGTGTGTAACCGCAAATCTAAGGATTCCTGATTCTTTTCCATTTCCTTTTCCAGGCTCAGAGCCAAGCCCATACCTCTGCCCAGAACTGTAGTTGTTGCCAGATAGCTTCCCTCAGGTAACTTCAAATTGCAGATGGGAAAAGGAAGTCACAGTAAAGGGACAAGTCTAGAGGGAACGAACGTATGAAAGAGAGCAGGAAAGAAGCCCAAGATGAGGATTAAGAAGTACAGAGTGTGACAGGAGAAAGCCTAGAGTCACTGAGGAGAGGACTAGGGAAAGATAACTAGGAGAACAGGAAAGGGCTCTTGGTGAAAATTAGAAAATGAGAGAATTGGAAAATAATAATTACTATTATAACTAACATATACCGGGTGCTAACTTTGTGCCAGTCACTGTGCTAAGCACTTTATATGGATTATTTTCATCAATCTCACCAAAACTCATGGTACCTTCTTCTATTATCAATCCTTTATTTTTACAGATGAAGAAAGTGGGTCAAAGAGAGATTAGGTAACTTGTCCAAGGTTACACAGTTACAAATAGTGGGCTAGATATAGAGAAGATAAGCAAATATTAAGTCAGATTTAGGGATTAAGGGCAATAGGCCACTGAGGTAGCAAAGGGAGGGGGAAAAGAAAGGAAAAAGGAGGAATAGGAGGGGAGGGGAGAGATGTTGAGGAGACAATGACAGAAGGGTATGAAATAGGAAGAAACATAGGCTAAGGAAGATGTGTTTTGTGATTAAAAAAATAAGCAAGAGAATGGGAGGTCACCAACTATTAATTTCTGAAGCAATAACTTGGTTTTTTTCTATTCCCTTTGCCTCTAGATCCAATTCCATTTTTAACTCCTATGCAGCAACCCATTTTTATCCCCTTCCCACCAAGTTTCCAAGCTAGACACCCTTGCAACACCTGCTTGCCATCTGCACCCAAGGCACCAGCCTTGCACACCAGCAGGGGGCCCACCAGGCCAGAATTTGTATCTCTTATGGGATCTGCAGCAGAAAAGTACATCCAGGTGAGACAGGCAGGATCCTGAGCAGTGGGACCGGCATGGGGGGGCACTGTCCAGAGGTATGTTACTTTCTCAAAGGGCTTAGCCACCAAACCAGGGTGTGATGAGCCTGCAGGGAAAACAAGACACTCATTACTCACATCAGCTAGAGTAAAAATATCAGCTCCAAGGAGAAGGGTAAAGATCATAAACTACAAAGACATTTTGGAGCAACAGTGGCAGAACATGAGATACTGAGTATTGAAAGAATCCTGGCCTAGGAATCAAGATAGTAGAGTTTGGTTTCTGGTTCTACCACGATTTGCTACACAAGTAGGGCAATTTTAAACTTACTTAAGTTTCAGTTTACCTCAGGATTGCAAGGGACTAAAACACACATTCATCTGCTCTTATATTCCTACATCTGTTTAAAACTTTCCAGTGATGGATGACTTACTACCTCTCATAGCCTATTTCATCTTTGAACAAGTTCTGATTATTGAATTTATTCCTTTTAATATGTATCTATGCATTATGTGATGTGTATGTTAAAAGTAATTAGGCCATAATTCATGAGTTTTGCAGTGCTAGAGATCAAACCTAAGCCCTAAGATTGTTAACTTCTTTAATGGACACATGACATGATCAACCAATGCACAGAATTATCTTTTGTTTTTATAATTTTCAACCCATTAATAATCAAACAAGTATAAATAAAACTACCTAGATAACTTTTTGTCTTTGAAATTTGCAAACATTTTATAAATTTTAATCAAATGCTGGTGAGATTTGGTTCACATAGCACCTACCCCTCTCACTTACTAAAGGGTAAGTATAAATGGGAATAACCTTTGTGGAAAAAGGCAACAAAAGCCTTAAAAACTCATGCCCACAAATAAGGTAAAATAGGCAATAAATACTGAAAAGGATGTTAACATAAAATAATCAAATAAATGTAAATGAAAACAACACTAAGTTTTGTTGGTGTTATTGCCTACAAGACTGTCTTTTGACAAAAAGGTAAAAAGACTGCTCCAGTGCTGGTGAAGTTGTGAGGAAAGAGGCCTTCTCAGATACTACTGATAGAACTCCAAATTAATGGGATTGCAAATCTCTCCAGAGAACAATTTGGATGTAGGTGACAAAAATTTTATGTGTGTATCCTCAGACATACCAATTTCACACATTAACATACATTCTGAATAAATAATCATAAAGATCTACAAAGAAGCATATACAAGTACATTTGTAGTACAGATTATAACAAATGGGTATAATTCTGTGTGGCTTTAACTTATCTTTCCGTATTCATCGTTCCTGATTCTTTATATTTTTAAACATACAGAAAACTGCAAAAAATGGTACAGTGCTGGAGACCTGGCTCAAGTAGTAGAGCGCCTGTCTTGCAACCATGAAGCTCTGAGTTCAAACCTCAGTACCACCAAGCTAAAAATCTTGAATAAAAAAAGAATGGAAGGGAAGTGGGGATAAAAGAGGGTAATGGGGGGATGACTATGATCAAAATACATTATAAACATTTGTGAAAATGTCATAGTGAAGCCTAATATTTTGTACAAAAATATATATAAACATGTTATAACAAAACAGAAATTTAAAACTGGTGAAACGATCACCCTACCATCTCGAATCTGTTGTTCATATTTTGTCATCCTTATTTTATCTACTTCGACCTAAAGGTATACCTCAGTGGTAGAGTACTTGTATGTGTGAAACCCTGGGTTCAATTCGCATCACCATAAGGAAAAAAAGCTAACTCCATCTATGTATATCTATACACGCACACACAAAACACACACCAGTTTTTGTTTTCTTTTTTGAATCATCAGGAAGTAAAGTGAAAATATCGTGACATTTTACTCCCAAATAGATCAGTAAACATCTCCCATGTTGCCATAATACCATTATCACACCTAACAAAAGTCCCTAATATCACCTAATATCCAATCTATACCAAAGTTTTCAACTATCTCCAAATGTCTCTTTGGTTTTGTTGAGACAGGATCTTGCTATGTAGCCCAGGTTGGCCTCAAACTTGTGATCCTCCTGTTTTAACCGCCCAGTACTGAGATTATAGGCATGCACAACCATACTTAGCTTCCAAATGTCTCTTAAACTCAAATTAATAAAATTACAAATAAAAAAGAGAGGGAGAGGGAGGGGGCGGAGTGGGTGGTAAGGGAGGGGGCGGGGGCAGGGGGGAGAAATGAACCAAGCCTTGTATGCACATATGAATAATAAAAGAAAAATGAAAAAAAAAAAAAAAAAGAAGTCCATCAGTGTAGGATGGAGTAAGTAAAATGTGGTATATCCATCCAATGGAATATCATTTGGCAATAAAAAAAAGAATAAAATGCTAATACATGCTACAGCATGGATGTCGTTGAGTGACAGAGGTCAGACACAAAAGACCACATATTACATAATGTCATTAACATGAAATGTCCAGATTGTGCAATATATAGAGACAAAGTTGCTTAGTGACTGCCAAAGGCTGGGAGGCCTGAGGGGTTGAGGGTGATGGCTAAGCAGTGTGGAGTTTATTTTTAGAATAATGAAAATGTTCTAAAATTGATTCAATTCTATGAATGTACTAAAAGTCATTGAATTACACTCTTTAAATGGGTGAATTATATGGAATAAAAATGATATTTCATTAAAACTGTTTTAAAAAATAAAAAAAAAGTCTCTTAAACTCAAATTAATAAAATTACAAATAAAAAAGGGGATATCACCACAAACAACAATGAAATCCAGAGGATCATTGGGGAATACTTCAAAAACCTACATTCAAATAAATTGGAAAATCTAGTAGAAATGGATAAATTTGTAGACTTATAAGTCCAACTAAAATTGAACCAAGAGGCTACAAATCACCTAAATAGATCCAGGATAAGTAATGAAATTGAAGAATCAATAACAAGTCTCCCAAAAAAGAAAAGCCCAGGACATAACAGATTCACTACAGAATTCTACCAGACCTTTAAAGAAGAACTAATACCAACACTCTGCAAATGTTTCCATGAAATAGAAATGGAAGGAACATTATTACCACACTCATTCTCAAAACCAGACAGGGGCACGATAAAAAAAAGAGAATTATAGGTCAATTTCTTTCATGAACAGAGATGCAAAACTTCTCACTAAAATACTGCCAAACCAAATTCGACAACACAGCAGAAAGATCATACACCATGATCAAGTTGGTTTCATTCCAGTCATGCAGGGATGGTTCAGCATACACAAATTAATAAATATAATACAGCATAAACAGAAACGAGGACAAAAACCACATGATCATCTTAATAGATGCAGGAAATCTTTTGACAAAATACAAAATCCTTTCTTGATAAAAAGCTCTGATAAAACTAGGAATAGAAGGAATGTACCTCAACATAATTAAGGCTACATACGGCAAGCCTATAGACAATATCATCTTAAATGGAGAAAAATTAAAGCTATTTCCTTTAAAGTCAGGAAGGAGACAAGAGTGTCTACTCTCTCCATTCTTTTTTTGTTAACTTTTTTTTTATTATCATATTATTGTTGTACTGTGGTACATTGTGACTCTCTACTCTTATTTAGCATAGTTTTGTAACTCCTAGCCAGAGCAGTAAGACAGGAAAAAGAAATAAAAGGAATTCAAATAGGAAACAAGTCAAATTATCTCTATTTGCAGATGACATGATCTTATACCTAAAAGACCCAAAAAAGTCCAACAAAAACCTCCTAGACATCATAAACATCTTCAGCAAAGTAGCAGGACACAAAATCAATATACAAAAATCAGTAGCCTTTCTATATATCAACAATGAACAGACTCAGAAAGAAGTAGGAAAACAATTCCGTTTATAATAGCCTCAAAAACAAATCTAGGGATTAACCATTGAAGAAAGAAACTGAAGAAGACATCAGATGATTGAAATAATGGGTCATGGGTTGGCAGAATTAATATAGTGAAAATGAATATACTACCAAAAGCAATCTATATGTTCAATGCAATCCCCTTGAAAATTCCAATGACATCCATCAGAGCTTGAAAAATCAACCTGGGGTGGGGGAGATAAAGGAGAACGATGAAGGGGGTAAATACTACTATGATATATAAGAACTTTTGTTCTTAAGTAAGAACTTTTGTAAATGTCACAATGTACTCCCAGCACAACAACAAAAAAAGAGTGGAAAAATAAGAAAGAAAAATCAACCCTAAAGTTAATATGGAAGCAAAAAAACCCTATAAATTAGTCAAGACAATACTAAGCAAAAAGAGCAACGATTGAGGCATCATAAATCCAACTTCAAATTATACTACAGAGCCATAGCAATAAAACCAGCATGGTACTACCATAAAAACAGACATGAAGACCAATGGAACAGAAGAGAAGACTCAGACATAAATGCACACAGCTCTAGCCACCAAATATTTGACAAAGGTGCCCAAAATACGTGATGGAGGAAAGACAACCTCTTAAACAAATGTTTCTCGGAAAACTGGGTATCTGTACATAGAAAACTGAAACTAGATCCATGTCTTTCACATTGTACAAATATCAATTCAAAGTGGATCAAAGACCTTAACATAAGGCCTGAAACTTTGAAACTAGTGTAGGACAGAGTAAGGTATCACTGGAACATATAGGTGTAGGCAATAGCTTCTTAATGGCTTAGGAGCTAAGAGAAAGGATTGATAAACGGGACTACAAGTTTCTGTACAGCAAAGGAAATGGTCATGAGACTGAAGAGGCAGCCCACAGAATGGGAGAAAATCTTTGCCAGCTATACATCTGACAAGGGATTAATAACCACAATTTACCAGGAACTCAAAAAACTAAACTCCAAAGAATCAATGACCCAAAGAAGAAATGGGCAAATGAACTGAGCAGAGCTTTTCCACAGAAAGAATACAAATGGTCAAAAACCACATAAAGAAATGCTCAATATCCCTGGCCATAAAGGAAATGCAAATTAAAACCACATTAAGATTCTACCTCATTCCTGATAGAATGGCTATCATCAAGAACACAAGCAATAACAAATGCTAGTGAGGACGTGGGGGAAAAGGAACCCTCATATACTGTTGATGGGAATGTAAATTAATACAACCACTATGGAAAATAGTATGGAGGCTCCTCAAAAAACTAAAAACAGAACTGCCATATGATCCAGCAATACCATTCCTAGTCATATACCCAAAGGAATGTAAGTCATGTTACAATAAAGACACCTGCACACACATGTTTATTACTGCATTTTTCACAATGGCCATGTCATGAAAACAGCCAAGATGCCTTACAAATGATGAATGGATTGAAAAGATGTGGTATTTGTATACAATGGAATTTTATTCAGCCATAAAGAAGAACAAAATTTTGTCATTCTCAGGTAAATGGATGCAATTGGAGAACGTCTTAAGTGAAGTTAGCCAGATTCAGAAAGACAAAGGTCACATGTTTTCACTCATATGTAGAAGATAAATCCAATACAAATACAAGCATTATCACAGCTACATATGAATACATACAGAACATATTTCCAAAAGTGGGACTGTGAGAGGAGACTAAGGGAGGAGGGAAAGAAGAAAAGAATGATAGAGTGAATAATAATGAAATATATCACATCTGTATAGGAACAAGACACAAGAAACACACTGAAAAGTGTTAAACAGGGAAGGAAGAGCAGTGAAGGATGTTAGAATGATTTAAGCAAAATATATCTATAGGCAAAATACCAAGGCAAAACCCTGAGTGAACAATGAACAGACACTTAAACGATGAAGGACAGGAATGTAAAACAGGTGAGGGAACTAGTGGGATGGGGAGGATAAATGAAGAGGGTAAAGGAGGGTGACATAATTTCTATACATGTGTGAACACTGAAGCCTGCTGAAGTTATTTTAAGAAGGAGGATGGGGTAGGAGAAAGAATAATGGAAGGGATGAACCAAACTGAGCTAAAATATATGTATATATGGAAATATCACAATGAACGCCCTATATAACTATCATATACTAATAAAGATATTTTTAAAAAGTCTCTTAAAGCTATTTATTAGAACCAGGATAAATAAAGGTTTGCAGGCGGCATTTGGGTTTTTTTTCTTTTTGGTATTTGGTTTTTATATATCTAATTCATCCCCATCCCCCATAGTACTGACTTGATAAAAAGATTAGACTATTGCTCTGTAGAATGTTCTTTTATTTTAGATCTGTCTGCAAGTTTGTCCAAACTTTATCCTTTCATTGTTTTTATATTTTTGACTTAGAATTAGCATCTATAAATATTCTCAAAGAAAACAAGAAATTTATTACCTAATAATCCCACTTCTAGTATTCTCTCCTGTGGTACTAACCAAAAATGCAAGTAGGATATATGTATTCATCACTGGAACCTGATTTACAATATTCCGAAACACTGAAAATATTAGAGAAAAAAGAAGTTGAAAATTCTGCAATTCTAAGAAAAGAAAACACAGGGATACAGGATGCCTCGAACTACTAAGAATGAAAATGAGATATGTGTCTTGGTGTTGACATGGATGATAAAGAAAATACCCACTATGCACTCCAGGCAAGAAGATCTCGGAGTGCCACTAAGAAAAGAAAGCAGGAAGAATCTGTTCCACCCTTTTCTGTAGCCTAGAGTCAGAGCTGCTCTCAAATTCCATGTGATGAATCTGGTCTTTGGGATGTTAAAAGGTGAAGAAACTATGACTATGATGAAGAATGCTCAGAAGAAGATTAATCACTTGGGGAATAAGGAGGAGGCAGATAGACATGTGTTTGATATGTAGCCTAAGCACTTTTCTCTGGGATGAGGAAAGCTGGTGAAAAAAGGATAGGAGATAGTGTCCTTTGCAGTTGATATGGCTGTTATAGTCTATTTCTTGGTTTGGTATGGTATGGCATGGTTTTATAAAATTGGAATCATATGGTCAATTAACTAAAAAAGCAATAGAAATAACTAAAGTGTACTTGTTGCTTTGCTGAAAATGGGTTAAATTGTATAGGTGTGGGAAATTTCTGTCACTTCACATACTATAAATATTTTGAATAGACAGTTTTTCTGCATTTAATAGTGATGATTGGTGTGACTAGGTTGTTTTTGATGGAGAAAAAACTTTCTTTTGCAAAAGGAAGACTTTTTTTGTACAGTGTATTACTGCAATCTGTCTTCAACTATTTAATCCAAAATAAACCTTTAGAGGAACATTGAAAAAACTCTGCATCTAAACAATGGGAGATAAGGCAAATAAATTATGAGAAATCCATGTGATAGAGTATTATATAGTCATTAGAATGTTCATAACATGATGAAGGCATGGTAAAACAGATATAATTGTGAAAATAGTAGAATGAAAAATTGTACAAACCAAAATGGTCCATCTGGTGGGGGGAACCAGCAACAGGGGGATGCAGAAAAAGAGAGGGTAATGGGGGTAAACATGATCAAAATACATATTATACATATATACAACAGGCACTATGAAGATAGCATAATGAAACTCACTAAATACTATTTAAAAGGGGGGCAGGGAGGAGGGGAGTTAAGAGAGAATAACAGAGGGGCTAAATTTGAATTTGATCATACATTGTATGCATGTACAAAAATATCACAATGAAAACCTTTTGTACAATTAATTTATGCTTAATAAACTATAAATCATATGCTTTCATATCTATAAGTATATAGATATTTTAAATCACAGAAAAATACTAAAAGGTACATAGCAATTTATAATAATATATTTAAATATATATTTTTATTTTAGTGCTGGAAATTGAACCCAGGGCCTTGTACATTCTAGACACAAGCTCTACAACTGAGCTATACCCCCATCCACTAAATATGTTTTTTAAAGTTTTCTCTTATTATTAAGCCTAACTCTGGTTCACTATTCATTCATCCAACAACATCCATACATGGCAACCCATTCTGCTTCTTTCTCCCTTTCTACTCTCCATTTATTTGTCATCTAGAGCCACCTACAACAACCCGAACCCCACACTTGTTGGAAACCCTGCCAGCTCACCATCATTGTACACAGTGCCCTCATAGTCTTTCTCATAAAAGACCCCATGGGGCTGCATGCTGAATGGTTTTGAGGCACGGTTGTAGAAGACCACCTGGATGGTATCACCCACCTCAGCCCGGATCACTGGCCCTGGAAAATAGAAAGGAGAGACAATGAGAGTGAAAAAAAGGATGAAGAAGAAGTAAGGAAACAAGAGAGGGACAGAAGGAAAAAGTAAGGTGGAAAAGGTAGTGAACTCTTCACAATAATAACAATCAATTCCAAGCAGATTTCTATTTAGTTATAAAAAACACTATGAAGTCCATTATCTCATTTTGATTCTCAAATATCATTCTAAGGCACACACAGGTGGTAGGGGCTATTATCTCCATTCCATAGATGAGGAAACTTCAGTCCAGAGAGGTGGAATCAACCTACACAAATTCAGATGGCCAATTTATTGCAGAGCTAGAACCTGAGGTCAGGACATTATCCCATTCCACTGGCCTTTCCCCTAACTATGTTGTCTGAGCTCCTGTATCTGCATCTCTTGGTAGTCCTATCTGCAATCTGAGACCACCTCAATCTTATCCCTATTCTGATCAAAGGAAATTATTATATCCTCTATACAGGCCCTGGACTTGGTAGTCTAACCACAACATCTGGACTGCTTTGTGCTGTACTACTGGCCACCTCTAACATATCTTGGGTCACTTTTGAGGCCAACGAAAAGTATCAATGCTCTTAAGATGGCTCTAACCTTAGGTCAGACTTTCCAGCTTGGTTATCTACTCAATTTCCACACCTACCTCTGCTCAAAGACTGGGTACCCATCCGTACCCCAGTCAATGAAAGCTCCTTCATACTTACAACCACCTCCCTCTCCTAGGGAGGAATTTTCCTCCTTACATCTCCCTGCTCAGTTGATGCAGAGCCTTTTATCCATTTTTCAGAATCAACTGCCCCCTCCAACCCAAGAGTAGGGCTCATTGCATTACTTCTGTTTCCAAAATTTTCACTCACCTGACCTATTTTATTTCCTGGTTTCACTGGGTGGCTAAACCACATCTAACCTTGCTATAGTCTTTTAATGCTATGATTTAGACTTTATGGATACCAATGCCAGACTCTAAGACTGGTTCTGCATCCCTCACCATCACAAACCTGTCTATATGTAACACCAATGTGCTCCTGGCCCCAGATTGCTGCAAATCTGGCCAGGCATACTGTCTTATACAGAATACCTCAAGAGAAGCAATTCTCAAAGTGGTTCTGGCAAATGTTACCAAATGTTTTGGTAGCAAAGTAAATATGAGAAAAGCTATACACTCTATTCCCATCGTGGAGAATCAGGATGAACAAAAGCATATCCAGGGTTCTCAAAAATCCTACAGCAAAAAATACTATTTGATTATGCCTAACCTAGGGTGCTTCAAATGCACTCAGATCGATAACGCTTTTTTATAAAACACTTTATTTCTTGGGACTCACTTTGGGAGATTCTGGTCTACAGTGTGCCCCCGAGGCGTCCCCAGGCTCAAGTTTCTAAGTCCTCCTCACTTCTCTGGCTCTAGATAATGAATTTCATGAGTTAAAGATTCATCACCTAAAATTCCAAGATGCTTATCTTCTTCCCGATACATCTTCTCCTGGAATGTTTCATCTTGGAAGGCTTCATATCGAACTTTCCAGTAAGTACCTCCAATTCGGCTAGAGCTCTTCTGGAAGAACTTTTCTGAGCCACTTGCATATAAGAAAGTAAATGTCATATTATTTCACTGAGTGTCAAACAGACTCCCATCTCACCCTTAATCTCATCAGGTTATGGATTTTGGGGGGGGGTGGTACTAAGGTTTGAACCCAGGAGCTGGTTATTGGTACGCAAGTGCTCTACCACTTGAGACATACCCCCCCAATCCTTTTTGCTTTAGTGTTTTGAATAAGGTCTTGCATTTAAGCCTGGACCAGCCTGGACTATGATCCTTCTATTTACACTTCCTTCTTATCTGGGATGACAGGCATGTACCACCATACCCAGCTTTTATTGGTTGAGGTGGGGTCTCATGAACTTTTTGCCCAGGTTGGCCTGGAACTAATCCTCCTGATCTCTGCCTCCCAAGTAGCTAGAATTATAGTTGTGAGCCACTGTGCCCAGTGTAGGTTATGGATCATTGAGGTTAGGAAGGACCTTAGAGATAATCCAGATTAATGCCCGCCAGTGAAGATACTTCCCTCTGGGGACATCACTAATAAGTGATATACGGCTTCTGCTTGAGTGTTTCCAAAGACAGAAAACTTATTTCAGAGGAGGTACTCTACCTGTTGGATAATTTTAATAATTGGAGTTACTCTTTATAGTAGGCTGGAATATTCTTGCTTGCAAGTTCCTTTTACTGGGACCAGTTCTGTCCTCCAGAATTACATATCCTCTTTCTGTTCTTAATTGTCTTCAGGTACTTCCTATCCTTTTACTCCTAAATTAAGAATATCCTTAGCTGGGTATGATGGCACATGCTTGTAGTCTCCCCACACACACTACTTGGGAGGCAGAGGCAGGGGGATCTTGTGCCCAGGAGTTCAAGGCCAGCCTGGACAACATAGTGAGACTCGGTCTCAAAAAAAATAGTCTCCACTCCAACATGAAGACTCACATGAAGATTCTAGATGTCATCTACCAAGTTGTGTTCTGTGAAGAAACTGGCATCACTAATTACCTAGCAACTGTATTACTTAAGGGCTAGCAACTAAGTAGGGCACTAACCTCCTGCTCTATCTTCTCTATGTCTGGGTCATGGTTGAGAGAGGAGAACTCGGAGAAATTCCTCCAAAAGGATGGGCATGGAATGGCCACAACACAGCTTGCTCCTTTTCTTCCTACATTTCTCAGAATGATTTTTATACCCCTGCTCAAATGCCTCCTTCAGATTACAGAAAAGAAAGGAAGGAGCAAGGAGGTAAACAATGGGTAAAATAAGGAAAAGCTGGAAAAAAGCCATTTTAATTGCTGTAGGAACTGGTCCCACCTGGGGTTTTTTTTCTGAACATGGTCAGGAATTACAGCAGGACCAAAGTCAAAAGTCAGTTTGGACCATTTGCTAGGGATATGGTATAACCTTACAAAAAGCTTTGCTACCTATTACTACCTGGAGAGCAAGCTCTCCCAGAGGGCCACAGGAATTTGGCTAACAGTAGCCCTGGCCAGACAATGATTGTGAGCCCCAAGTGAAGCAATAGATTTCTAAGAGTGAGATAATAGGTGTTGGGACAGGAATAGGTAGAGGGAGTCAGCTCTCTGCCTCTTACCTTCCCAGCTCTCTCAAACTCTTCCCAGTACTCCCATCATGTCCCATCGGGCCATAATCCCATCGAATCTCATGAGCCTCAATGAAGTACTGCCGAACTTTGCCTGTGAGCTGGTCCACAGGAGGGGCCGTGGAGCAAGAATTGACCTTGTAGAGTGCCTGCATGCCATCTGGAGGAAAAATATCACATTAGATCCATTCTACAGATGCACCTTGCTCCTTCTCCTGTTTTCTCCTCCCACCCACCAACGTCCAAATGGGCCACTTTCTCTCACTCCTTAAGAGCCTAGCTGGGAGACAGAGCAAGCCCAGGTAGGAATTCAGGTGCCTCCACTTGCTACCTCCACCACCGACATATCACAAAGACTTATATCAAGAGATCTGAGTTCAAGCCTAACCTCTACCACTATCTGTAAGACCTTAGGTAAATTACTTCCTTAATCTGAGCTTCCCTCTTTTGTAAATAAGGAGAAAAGGAAATCTACATCATGGAGCTGGTGGGAGAATCAAATAAAAGAAGGGGTAAGTTATTTATGAAGTAGAAAGTTCCCAAAATAAAAGACCATCACCACACATGGAGATAAAGATTCAGACTTGTGACTGTCAGGGAAGTTTTAGTTCTAAGTAGTGTCTCCAAATGGATGCTACACTGAGCCATCTATAATGGTAATACATGGCACTATCTATATTTCCTTAGCAACTTACATAGGTCATTCAGCTGCATTGTCTTATATGAGTCTCACAACATCCCAAGGAGATTAAAAGCTGTATGTTAGAAGTCTGAATTATGAAGGAGGAAGGAATATTGTTTTTTGTTGAATATACATGTCAGGTCTCGTGTCTAGTGCTCTACATATCATTTCCATCAATCTTTGCAACCTCCCTGTGAAATACACTTTTAGTGTGCCCTTTTGCTGACCAAGAACACTTAAAATTAGAGAGGTTAAGTAACTTTCCCAAGATCATAAAGCTAGTCATTGGTAGAGTTGACACTTAAGCTCCCATCTTTTAACTGTAGACTCTGAGAGCTCATTTTCTTCTCTTATATCCACTTAGTCATGTTTCTACTCTCTAAGATTTAAATTCAAATTATGTCTCTGAAACCTCCTTACAACTTTATGAGGTAGGAATCATTACTGCCATTCTCAAAACTTACCAAAGCTGGGTAAGCAAGTGGCAGAGCGAGGATTTGAATACAGGCTTGCCTGGTACAAAGGTCAATGTCTCTTCTATTGTGCTATATCCTGAACCAGAATCCATATTTATACTTCCCTACTCAGGCACCTTTGGGGCCAAGGACAGACCCTAGTTAATGGAATACAATCTAACTGGCCTCTACTGACTCAAACCTATCATCCAAGACTTGTTATCCACCAGTCTGTAACTCTCACCTACTCACACCTACTTTCACATATTCATATAACACTTTCCCAATATCCTCTTAATTCACCACACATCAAACAATTCCAGAAAGCAACAGCTGATGAGAATTTTAGAGACTACTTAGAACAGCTTCCCCATTTTACGGATATGACAAATGAGGCACAGAAATGAAAGAGATTTTCCCAAAGTCATATAGTGTGTTCTTCAGAGCTGAAATGATAACTCAACCTTCTAATCATGTATTTAGTACTCTTTCCATTGTCTCACATAATCTTCCTTCCCTCAGATGCTTCTCAATACACTGTGCCTAACATTACTTTAATCATTCTTCTTCTGGAGGAAAAACGAGCCTTCTATCATTACTACTGCTGGGTCCAACTAGAGTATCACTACTTACCTACATTATTCTATGATTTCCTAGAAAAACCTTACTCTCATTTCTCCTCCACTCTCTGTTCAGTAAGCTGAAAATATCTCCAGGCCTTAATTTGTTAGTATTCTGAGAAAAAATCCATTCCTAGGCAATTTTATGTTTGAGGGGGAAGATTAAACCCAGAGAAATGTGTCTGGGGGTACCCATCAAGTTAATGGCTGATCCAAGAAAGAACCTAGGTATCCAGAGTTAGTTCTAGTGTTTCACTGTTTAAAAGATGCTTCACCTAGAAGACAACTTATAGCTCCACACCAGAAACCCACCCTCCTATTGACCTTACTGACACCTCCTTCTTATACCCCAAGCATCACAAATGTTGGATCTCACTTTGCAAGTGACTGTTCACTTGACAGCTAATTAACCAAGTGCCAGGCCCCTGGGGCAGCATCTCAGCAGTCACAAACGTGGCTGGGAAGATGTGAGCCACATCAGTGCGGTGTCCACGGATGGTCAGCATCTGTCCATGGAAGAAAGCTGTGTGGACATCCACTTCATTGCCTATGCCAAACAAGTGCCAGGCCACATGCTTCCGTGCACACATATTCAGCTCAGGTAAGTTCCCAAAGACAAAACCATTGATTGCTGCAAAAGAAACCCCCAGAGAAAATATAAGTGTTAGGAAATGACAGACCAACACTAGAAACCTTACTACCTGACAATAATAATAGATGATATTTAAATGAAGTCTCAAAGAGACACTATGCTGACATATACATTATCTCATTTAAATGTTACAAATAGCTCTGGGAAATAGACAAGTATCATTAGCCTTATTCAGAAAAGTGAGAAAACCAAGGCTCAGTGAGGTGAAGTTACTTCTTTCTGAAGACCACAGAGCGATTAAGTGATAAAGTCAATAATCCAAACTGCAATTGAGGAAGCTCTCTGGGAAATGAGGTTATTTTGCAGGTAGTCTTTCCTTTTTGGCTGGTTTCCTTCTGAATGTTCACATAACAAGTGTCACACTGGCTGATTAATTATCATGGCCATTAAAATCAATTGTTATAAAACCCAAGAGAAATTTGTGCTAAGCCATCCTTCACAACTTCCCTCTGAGTTTTCAGCTCCACTTGGGGCTGTCTGGCTTTGACACCCCTTTCACCAAGCAAATAACTTCCTTAATTAACAAAAACAAAGTACACTTGTTTCTATTCCTAAAATCAATTCTCCACTCATGCCTCAGGGCTTCTGTGGCTTTACTTCGTTTTAATTTAATTAATGTGGGCAATTCCCTATAGACACAAACCCAGAGTGTGCGGGTGATTCAAGCAAGGTAGTTTGGAAGCAACCAGTTTTCTCCACAAAGTGAATAATTCTTCCAGGTTGCATCCTTTAAAAAACAAAGCAATATTAATTAATTCTATCAGTGGGGAACCCTTTCCAAAGTGACTATGGGTATTGTGTATGACTTTGAAATCAAAAGTCTAGGCTATTCTACCTTATGAGGCAGGCTAGCCTAATAGCAGGAACACAGCCTACACAGAAGGATTAGGGTGAGAATTTTAGCTATGACATTAACTTGATCCATAGTCTTGGGAGCCTCGATGTCCTCACAGACAAAGCAGAAATGCCACTAGTCCTAATCCTTGTGAGGATAAAAAGGACCAGGCATGTGAAAGTACCCACCAAATACTAGGCCCAGTGGAAACTCTCCATCAGTATCCACAGTCACAGTGTGGATACTTCCTCCCAGCTCACCATGCATCCTGTTGCTCTCCTGAAAGGCCTCATCTTCTTTGTCCACTGAGGCAGGGTCTGAGCAGTAAGTAGCAATGTTCTCATCTAGGTGCCAGCTAAGGTTCTCATCTATCACACTGAAGAGCAGGAAGAAATTATGGTCCACATCCTGCCGCCGAGGAGGGGAGCTTTCATCCAGGGCTCCTAGGGCAAGTATGAAAGGTGCCCTTGAGAGCCTCCTTTCCTTAAGCAATGGTAAGCTGCAAGGTGAACTCATAAGAAAGGAATAGGAAGAGAGCAACAAAAATGCAGATATGGCCTTCTTATGCTACTTCTGATTCCCTAACTCCTCTGATAAAACCAACTCAGTTGGGCCTAAGACATATAAGTGGGACACCAAGGACTGAGAATAATTTCCTCTCACTATCTTTGCTTGTCTTCAATCAAAGACCCGAACCTGACCACATTCCTGCAACACCCTAGTCATTAGGCCTGACTGACTATAACATGAGTATCCCTTATTCCCAATTAAGTTTTCAATCCTCTCCAAACCTTGATGGCCATACTTTTAATCTTATCCATATGTAAACTCTTACCACATGCCTTACTTCAATGTGAATTGATACCCATCATGACTAATTTCAGATTTGAATGTGAAAGAAGAAACAAGAAAATAGTGGGGAGGTTTTCTTTTTTTAAAGAAGGAAAGGTAATGAAAGAGGAAAAATGGCAGAAAAGGAGTTTGGCAAGGTTGTAATAAACAAGGGTACTACTGAATTAACAGCCCTCAGACTGCTACCCAACAGGAAGGTGGTTCAACCAAATCACTGCTTCCCCTAGCTGTCCCAAACTGCATCTCATAGCTCATACTTGGGACTTGTACCTCTTTTACAGGTGATGAGGGGTCCAATGAGGCCAGCTGCAATGTCTCGTGGAGCATCTACATGAGAATGGTAGATCCAGGTGAGGCATGCAGGATCAGCACCAGTGGGTGCATGGTCTTCAGGAATGGTCCAGTTGTAGGTATGGCTGCCCCCCGGAGGAACAGAATCATCAGCCTTAAAGTACCCAGAAGACCCATTGGGTATAGAGAGCCTGGAAAATAAAACCCACACATGCTAGTACCAGAGTGAGTGAGACAACATGGCAGAATATAGAAGCCAAGAGAGGGCAGACATAAAATACCTACATATAGTCTTGAGGAACATAGGATGCTAAGGTTCCATCCAGCATTTCTTGCCCCAGTTCTCACATCAACAATGCAAGGAGAGATAGAAGCCATTTTAAAAGGAGCTGTGGTCAGGCAAATTGCTGCTGGTGGCCTAAGTTAGTAGTGGCCCTTAACTCAAACTGATGGTATGGAACAGGTCAAAGACAGAATTCCCTCCTTTAAGCCAGGCATGGTGGCACATACCTTTAATCCTAGCACTTGGGAGGGGGAGGCAGAAGGATCTTGAGTTTTGGGGCCAGCCTGGACTACATAGTGAGTTCCAGACCAGCTATGTTATATATGTGAAACACTAGTCTCAAAAAAAAAAAAAACCCTTCCAGCACTCACCTGTTGGAAAATAAATAGCAGACAATCAAGGAATTTCACTCTAGGCAACTCAATTGTCAATTGGTAGAGATGGAGATGTGCTTAGTAGTAGAGTGTTTTAAAAAGTGGGAAGCTCTGAGTTCAAACCCCCCAGTGCAGCTAAAAAAAGATCATTTGTAGGGACAACTGAGAAGTAACTTGAACAAGGTCAGGTAGGGACTTAATGGCCAACCTAGGATTTTCTTTCTTGTTCCATTACTATCACCTTTAACTCATTTTTTAATAGTATAAATTCAAAATCTCTTCTCTTTTTTTTGTTTTTTGTTTGAGAAAGGATCTTGCTAAAAAAATCAAATACCTAGGAGTAAACTTACACAAAGGATGTGATGACCTCTTACAAGGAGAGCTACACAAACCCCTGAAAGAAAAGAGATCGAGGAAGACTAGCAGGAGGTGGAAAGATCTCCCATGCTCATGGATTGCTAAGAATCAACATTGTAAAAATGGTTATA